CCCCCCCCAGAAGGAGCCAACAGACCAGCTTCTCCTCCTTCCAGGCCCAGCGAGGGGGAAACGGAAGCGAAGAGCCCCATGGAGGCCTCAGGGCAGGAGACGGCCTTGGAGCAGCTGGGCCAGGAGGCCACCTGCCCGCTCTGCCTGGACTTCTTCCAGCACCCGATGGTCCTGGCCTGCGGGCACAACTTCTGCCGCGACTGCCTGGCCCGGCTGGGCGCTGAGGCTTCCTGCCCCCAGTGCAGAGCCAGGGTGGAGCCCGGCAGCGCCTGCCCCAACCGGGCCCTGGCCAACATCGTCCGCCTGGTGAAGGGGCTTCGGCTGTCGAGGGGGGGAGCCCAGGAGGGGAGCAGCGACCCCCAGCTGTGCCGGGAACACCAGCAGCCCCTGCAGACCTTCTGCTCCAGCGAGAAGCGCCTCCTCTGCGCCGGCTGCCTGGGGAGGCACCAGGGCCACCCCCTCCTCTCCCTGCCCGAAGCTGCCCGGGAATACAAGGTAGGGGGCGGGCACTGTGGAGGTAGGCGTTCCCAAAAGGGGGGAGCTGAGCAGCCCCAACTAGATGGGGTACTCCATCAGCTTATGGGGGGGTTCAGGCATGGGGGTCCCCAGAAAGATGAAAAGATGATCGTGGGAGCAGTTAAAGGCCCCCAAAGACTACCACTTGAAAATGGTGGAGGAGAGCCAGGCTATTTTTCGGCAGCGAGAGAGGAGACCGGAGACAGGCAGACTCTCAGCTGCTTCCCTCCTCATGGGCCTCTGCCTGCCCTGGGCCTCTCCCTGGCCGGATTCTCTGCTGGAAGATCTGGGTGCCCTGGAGTGTAGCACGGGGGTCCCTCTGGCCCCTTGCCCGCCTCCATGGGTGGGAGCACTGCCATCATGGACTCGGCAATGGTACCGTCTCCTCCCCGCGCAGGACCTGCTGGATGCCCTCCTGGAGCCCCTGAGGAAGGAGGAGAAGCAGCTGCTGGAGCAGAGGCGGGCAGAAGAGCAGAGTCTGCAAGAGTGCCAGGTGGGTTTCTTGGGGGGGAGGGGGCACAGGAGGCAGCTCCAGGGATGTCGGTTCTGCAGCTGGGAACTCTTCCCCCCTCCCTCTGAGTTCCCTGTCTTCTGCCCCCTCCCAGGAGCAATTAGCCACCGAGAAGCAGAAGGTTGGCCCCGCGTTGGAGCCTCTGCCGGAGCTGCTCCGGGAGAGGCAGCCGGTCTGGGTCGCCTGGCTGGCCGAGGAGGAGAAGAAGATGGTGGCCGAGTGTGTTGGCCCTCTGTCCCAGCTCTCCGGGGAGGCCTCCCGCCTGCAGCAGCTGATTGCCCAGACGGAGAGGAAGTGCTGCCAGCCGGATGGGGAATTCCTGCAGGTGGGCGGGGCTCTCGCTGGCCTCAAGGGGGGGGGGAGAAACAGAGGTTCTCCGGGGGGGGACAATGGCCACCCTTGCGAGGGCCGGGACCCATTTCTCTGTTCTCTTCTTTCAGGACATCCAGGACACCGTGGACAGGTAAGGTGCCAACTTGCCCTTACCTGCCCGTCCTTGTGGGTCAGTCGGCGTCAGACAAGCAAGTGCCTGCCCCTTCCAGAAAACCATCCTCTCTCTCCTCTCTTTCATGAAATAAAAGTAAAACCCCACCCGCCTGTAGCACTGATGACGTTACTCAGTTGGGTAATGAAACGTCTGCACGAAAACAGCCGAGGACCCTCAGCTGCAGACATTCTCTTCTCTTCTTGGACCTCGACTTCCTCCACAGCCCTTCGGGCCGGTCCCTGGGCAGAGCATCCGGTTGGGGCTGAGGGAAGCGGTGTAAGCTCAGTTGTTGCAGGAAACCGGGTTTCCTTGCGTGGGACACCTTCATCCTTGGTGTAGTAGGATCGCAATCACATTTGACGTTTGTGTTGAGTTTGTGTCTTTTCTCACTTCTTTACTGAACTCTACCCTGGTTCAGTGCACCGAGTCAGTTGTGATCGAAGCAACGTACATGCTTACCTAACAAACAAGCCAGGATTCGTACCACACCCCAAACGGGGGTTTGCAAAACCCAAGTCCTGTATTCATATGGCAAGATGCTGGAATGGGCCGGCTTCTTTCACGCACCCCATCTAGCTGGCCGACCCAGCCCCCTGTGTTGTAGGGAGAGAGCCTGCTAGCTTTGTGAGGCCGCCTTCCTTGTGTTGCAGGTGCCGGAGTTATGTGGTGGGGCGCGTAGAGAACGCCTCCCCCAGACTGCAAAGCAGACTCAGGACTATCTTCGAGAAAAACGCTTCCGTAAGGCAGATGCTGGACAATTGCAAAGGTGCGGGGCTCCTTTGTGATGGAGCTGTGGGGATCTGGGCCCCTCTTTTTCCCTTCCTACTGGGGAATCTTGGGGGAGCCAGTCCCCATCCTGCTTGGGTTGGTGGATGAAGGGGGGTACTGCCTCCTCCACTCCATCTGTCACCCGCCTGAACCATGGTACTTGGAGAGGGTGTCACTTGTTCACCTGGCAGGGACCAGGACGTTCGCTTCTGCGCGGCCGTCGCTCACGGGCAGCTATTTCCTACCTCGCTCTCATTTTTTCCTTTCCTCCTCCGAATCTCAGCCTCCCTGGAGACGACTCTGACCAGGAACAGTCTGGAGCAACCTCTGGCCGCGGGTAACTTCACGGGGCTGGGGAGGAAGGGGGCAGTGGGGGGGAGGCTTGCAAACCGCCTGCCCTGGCCTGGCCCCACAGCAGCATTTTCCCCAAATCGCCAGGAGTGACCATTGCCGGGAGTGGCTTTCTCTGCAAGTTGGAGGGCCCAAGGGATGCCGAGAGTCTGGGGGGTCCCAAAGACAGCATTTGGGGAAGGGGGGCAGGGGTCTGTCAGCCGCCACATGGAGCCGGACCTTCCCTGCCACGTCTTGGCCGTTCCAGAAAGGAGCCACAGTTGAGGGCGCTGGGCAGGTCTTTCAGGGCCTGGAAGAATCCAGCGAGGGGCTGGGTTTTAAGTTGTGCTTTGTGAGAAGTATGGGGGGAACTTCTTCAGAAACACACACATACACACACACCTCAGCCTGATTTTAAACTGATTCCCCTTTCCTCCCCAGCACCTGCTCTACAAAAGCCAATATCGCCTAAAGGTAACAGCACACTTGAGGAAGGGGGTCCTTTCTGTAGGGGGGTGGGTTGGGATCCATCTGCAGTGCCCTGGGGCAGTTGTTGGGCATCCCTTGTCCTAACCCTGCCCTGCCTTGCCCTCCCTTGTTCCCAGCCCACCTAAGAGCTTCTATTCTCCCTCTTCAGTTTACGTCACGCTGGACAGCTCAACTGCCCACCCGCGGCTCCGGTGCTCGAACTCTGCTCTTACTTGGGCCGACCGATACCAGGATCATCAGGATCTGCCAGGGAGGTTCGACCGGGAATTGTGTGCTCTGGGCTCTGTGGGATTTGCCCCAGGCTGGTGCTTTTGGGAAGTATCCGTGCAGGGTCCAGACAACGCCCCGGTGTGGGGCAGAGCAGGCTGGGCCATAGGGGTGGCCAAGGAGTCCATCTGCAGGAAGGGGAGCCTCCAGCTGAGCCCCCAGGAGGGAATCTGGGCTGTGGGGAAGAGTTCGGCGGGGGAGACGGTCGCTTTCTCCAAGGTTCAAAAGAAGTTGTACTTGCGAAGGCCGCTGAGGAGGCTGCGGGTGCGGCTGGACTACGAGGCAGAAAAGGTGGAGTTCCTGGATGCGGAGATTGAGGCTTCCCTCTACACCTTCCAGTTGGGGTCCTTAGTTGGGGAGAGGGTCCGGCCATTTTTCTATCTGGGCCAGGAGGGGGTCTCCCTTTATTGTGAGGGACATCCAAGTTCATCTGTGTGGGACGACTATGGATTATAATAGAATAGAACATAGAATAGAATTAGAACAGAACAGGAAGGGACCTCGGAGGTCTTCTAGTCCAGCCCCCCCCCCCCGCTCAAGGAGGAGAACCTATACCAGTGGTGGCGAACCGTTTAGAGATCGAGTGCCCAAACTGCAACCCAAAACCCATTTATGTATCGCCGGGTGGTCGTGGCCCACCAGGTGTGCATGGCTACGGTGGTCATGGCAGACGAGTGGGCGTGGCCAACTCGATGTTGCTCCTGGGGAAGGATGCCTATGGGGGCCAGGCAGGGTTGGGGGGAGATCCAAGGGGTCTCTGGCAGGTGGGGCAGTGGGTAGGAGGGCATCTTGCTCAGCTGGTGGCTTGGGGAAGGGTGCAGCTACACCCCCTCCTAAACGCTGACATCTCACGAAAACAGGATGAAAACACCAAAAAGCGACAAGAAAAAAAGTTAAAACAGAAGACTTTTGGTGGTTTTCTTCCCTGGGGGGTTGGGGGGACGGGGGAGGCTCCTGAGCCCCACAGCTCTTCCGAAGGGGGGGGAGGAGACTGGGGAGAGGCTGTGCTGGGATCGGGGCTCCTGCCTTCCACTGCCTGCCTGCACTCTTCTGCCGCAGATGCCGCTGCTGGCAGAGCAGGGGCACGCTTGTGCACGGGGATGCACATGGGGCTGCTGCCTCGCTTTCCGTGTCATGCCGGGGCTGGCCTGGCCGCAGAGCCTCCTTGTGGCTTCCTCCACAGACATCGGGAGCGCCCACCCCACCTACCACTCGTGCCAGGGCACCTGCCCCCGTCCCGTGCTCTCCAGCTCGTTGCTGGCCAGCCGGGCACGCTAGGATGCCTCCCTTCGGGCTCCCTTGACCTCTCCCCCCCTCCAGGCTAGGGCTGGTCAGATTCCCCCCCCCCGTGTGCAGTGCTGAGCCCCCCCTCCCTCCCATCAGTGTAGAGCCCATGGGTCTTGGACACTTCTCGCGCGGGTCGCACTCCTTTCCGGACTCCATCAGCCCGAGGCCCATGCTCGGCGTCCCCAACTGGCCGGTGATGGGCTGGAGAGCTTGGGATAGTGGCAGTTGCCCCACGACAAGGTGTGGGCTCTCTCTATGTCTGCATGGGAAGAAGTGGCATGGAAGCTCCGTGCCCAGCCCTGGCACGGCACAGAAAGAGAGGCAGCAGCCCCACATGTGTCCGACCCAACCCTTGTAGAGCACCCTTCTCCCGCCACTCCGAACCAACCCTCGCAGAGCCCCGACCGGGTTCTTTACCTCCGCCCAGGTTGTTCTGCGGCCTCATGGCAGCGGCATTAGGCAGGAGGCAGCAAACAGCTGGTTTCAGTGTGACACAGCTGTTTGCCACCTCGTGTATTGCACCCCACCTGCCACACAGATCGCCCTGCCATTGCCGCCATTTCCCTCCCAACCGCCGGACGGATCGCGCTGCTGTCGCCGTTATTCCCCCCCCGCCGCAAGGATTGCGGTGCCACCGCTGCTTAGAAAAGGCCTCTGCCGCCCAGATCTATGGCTACTGAGCGATCTCATCCCCCCATGGCTGTTCTGGGCGTCAGAGGCCTTTCCAAGCCTGTGCAGCCCGGATCCATGGCCGCTGGGCAATTTTGCGGCACACCAGCGGCCTGATCTGGGCTCCAGAGCGATTTCGTGCCTCCTCCATGGCAGGTCTGGGCGGCCGAGGCCTTTTCCAGGCCTCTGGAGCCTTGATCAGGCTGCTGAGGTGCCGCAAACTCACCCCGCAGCCATGGATCCAAGTTCCACAGGCTTGGAAAACGCCGCCTCCATGTTTTCGCCGCCACCGCCCTTGCTGCCCATTGCCCCACAAGGCTGAGGCAAGGCAGCTTCAGACACCAGGCCGCCCCTTCTCCCCTGTGTGGCCACCCACTGAAACTTACCGCTGTCGGCTTGTGCTCGCTCGCTTGCTGTCTGCAGCAAATGCTGCTCCCCCCCCCTTTCCAGACTGCGCATGTGCAGAGAGGAGGAGGGGAGCACCTCGGCCCACCAATGGCACGTGTGCCAACAGAGATAGCTCTGCGTGCCACCTGTAGCATGCGTGCCATAGGTTCGCCACCATGGACCTATACCATATCAACCGACAACGGTTCATTCAGTAATCAAAGTTACCACAGCACTGAAAGAAGTGGCCCGTGGCCCTTTTGCACACTTAGGACCACAGTCAAGGCGATCGAAATTCAGACCCTTGGTAACTGACTCACATTTTTGACGGTCGCCCTGTCCTGGAATCACGTGGTCTCCTTTTGCGACCCCTCTGATAAGCAAGGTCACTGTAGAAACTGAGTTCCCTCAACATCTGTGTGACCAATTTAAGAACTGCAGCAATTCGCTTAAAATATGGAGCGAGAGGGCAGCCCTCCAGGGCGGGGGCCCATGCTAGCCACCTCCCCGATTCCTGCTCATGGGTCCTTTTTCCCGTGTGTGTGTGTGTGGGGGGGAGGGACTTTACTTGAAGCACAAGAGGTGGGGGGCTGCAGATGAGGCCACTGGGCTCAGCCCCACCTCCTAGTGCAGTGATGGCGAACCTTTTAGAGACCGAGTGCCCAAACTGCAACCCAAAACCCACTTATGCATCGTTGGGTGCCGGGTGGGCGTGGCCCATTCATTGGGTGCGCATGGCTGTGGTAACAGCTGACTGGGTGGGACTAAAAAGTTCAATCAATCAATTCCAACTTTGCAAGATCTTTTTTTCCCCCGGAGAAGTTGAAATTGACTGATTGATTGAACCTTTTTTTTTTTTTGCACACGGCGGTGGAGGCTTAAAGCGAAAAGGTTTTATAAAACCCATCTGAAGGCCTAGGACTGGGGTGACGGCGCGCGTGCCCACAGAGAGGGCTCAGAGTGCCGCCTCTGGCACCCGTGCCACAGGTTCGCCACCACTGTCCTAGTGCCTTCCAAGACCACATATGGCAAGAGGACCAGATGTTGCCTATTGTCCTCTGGGGTGTCCTTCCAGCTCCCCTGCCTAGTCTGCCAGGGTTTCTTGGTGGTCTCCCCTCCCTGTCCATATCCAACCTCCTATAACGCCGCCATGACCGGCCCAGGCTGCTTAGGGGCTGCCAAGCGGTTCAGGTGGGATGGGGCAGTCCAGCTGGGGAATTTGGGTGTCCACGCGTCTCGGGTGCAACGGATGAGAATCCCTGCCTCTGTGGCTCACAGTGTAGATGAGAGAGAGAGAGAGAGACGGTTAAAGAACCTTTATATTCAATAAAAGCGACGTCTTAATATCTGCATGTATCAATAAAAGCAACATTTTAACATCTGCATGTTACTCTACATTTATGGGATTCTAAATTTTACTCCAATGTTACTCCAAGTTTCCTATTAAAAAAGCAACGTTTATCTTTTATTTGTGCCATTTCTCTACACTTTGGTCCTCAGGGAGGCGGGGCCCTTTACATACAACTTGGACAAGCTTTTAAGGCGATCTTTGAAAGCTTCCACGACAAAAATTATAAGTTAGCAGCAAATCATTTTAAAAGGTAGGCTCGACCCCCCCACCAAAGGCTTAATAATAATAATAATAAAGTTGAAAGGGACCTTTGAGGTCATCTAGTCCAACCCTCTGCTCAGGCAGGAAACCCTATACCATTTCAGACAAATGGCTGTCCAGTCTCTTCTTAAAAACTTCCAGTGTTGGAGCATTCACCGCTTCTGGAGGCAGGTTGTTCCACTGGTTAATTGTTCTCACTGTCAGGAAGTTTCTCCTTAGTTCTAGGTTGCTTCTCTCCTTCATTAGTTTCCATCCATCGCTTCTTGTCCTGCCCTCTGGGAAAGGCATATTTTTGGCAGCCCTTGAAGTGGGGTCAATGGGGGGGAATTCCCCAGGGGTGGGGGGAGACCGGCAGAGACCTTCAACCGCCCCTAAGGGGAGGGGGGACCCCTTAGTGGCTGTTCTGTGGCCATCTGGGGCGGACAGGCAGACGGTTTGGGGAAGGGCATCCCTGAAGATACCCTGGCCACAGAGGGCTTTAAAAGGAGCCCACAGACCCACAAATTGCACTCGGAAGCACACACACAATCCCAGAGGGGGTCGTGGCTGGAAAACGGGGGTCTGGAAGCCTCTCTCTGCAAAATGGGGGGTGATGTCCCCGAATCCCAGGAGGCAAAGGGCCTCGGATCCGGGCTTCCCGTTCGGTCTGCGTGGAAGGCAATCGGGGTGGGGGACAGGGGAGGGGAGGTCAGGACCATCCCTGCCCTTAGCTGAGGGAGGTTGGGCCAGGGGGGGCTGTCCTGGAGGGGGGAGTATGGAGCCTCCAGGGGGATGTGTGGGGCAGGCCTTGGCTGGGTTCAGCCTGATTGTCCCCTGTTGGGTCAACTCCCCAGAGACTCCCCCCCACCACCACATCTGCCTTGCTGGCCTGGAATCTGAGGTTTCGAAGTTTGTTTTCAAAAAGGGGGGATCCTGGCCCTGTTAACAACCCCTTTTTTATCTTTTAAGAAAGCCTGTTTCCCTCCTCTTAGCCAAGGCCGTCTCTTCGGCATTTTGTTTATCACATGCCTTGGCCGCCCCGTCTCTCTGTTGAAGGCGACTGAGCAAGATAAAAGAGGCAAAACAGGATTAGAAATTAAAAACAAACCCAAAAAACCACCAAGGTTTGAAGGGGAGAGGTGGGGACTTTCTCTGCTAGGGCACCAAGAGCCTTTATAATAGTAATAATAAAGTTGGAAGGCACCTCGGAGGTCATCTAGTCCAACCCCCTGCTCAGGCAGGAAGCCCTAGGACCAGGGTAGGCCACCTTGGCTCTTTTAGGACTCGTGGACTTCCAACTCCCAGAATTCCTGAGCCAGCATGGCTCAGCTTGGAAACCTCTCCCTTTCCCCTCAGCGTGGCTGGCTCAGGAATTCTGGGAGTTGGAGTCCACGAGTCATAAAAGAGCCAAGGTTGCCTACTCCGGCAGCCTAGACCATTTCAGACAAATGTCTGTCTAGTCTCTTCTTAAAAACTTCCAGTGTTGGCGCATTCACCGCTTCTGGAGGCAGGTTGTTAATAA